GCATAATTCCAAGTTCTCACAAATACTGGTTGAGATTTCCATCAACAAAACAACTCTACCATGGCCAGCCCCAAGCCTATCATGCCAGTCCCAAGCCTGGAGAAAGGACGAGGGTTGTGTTAGATTGCCAAATAGTGTAAAACTTTTGCCACATCTATTTCATGACTCCTAATCCAATTTACAAAACAAGATTCATGTATCAGACCCCAAATAGATTGGATAAGGCTCAGATAATAATCATGATGATGATTTCCATCAACAAAACATTACTCAAGCCAGCAACTATACTCTTCCGTGAAATAAGTTCAAACGGATTTCAACAATGGGACGCAACCCTAATCAACTCCTTTGAAGGAGGCTGAAATGGACCTTCTTATTGTTGAAACACGATCCATATGGAATGTTCAACGCGAGTTTGACATCAAACACAAAGCAGAGGGACATTTTCAGATAAAATTTCATTGCAATGAGGACATGAAGGAAGTCCTTAGTGTAGGACCATAGATGGTGTGGGAGTAATATATTGAGGCTTAATGTGTTTTCAAGCACATCAAACCACATCCATCCATAACAATTAGCTCCATCCCCATTGGGGCAAGACTGCCAGACCTCACAAACTATCTCTGGACCCCAGATCTTCAGGGGTACACTGCTGCCCCTTGGTACACCAGGTTCAATGGATAGCAACACCCGAGAGCTTAAGAGATTGAATTCCGCTCGTTATTGGTTGAAGCCGAATGAGGATCAAAGTTGCCATCAGAAGTTCGGATTAACACACTCAATGGTGCATTTTCTTGCAAAGGATAGAAAATGAGCTGAGAGAATCCCTCGGATGTGCACCCGTTGTATGCACAGCGGCAAGGATGCAAGTTAATAGAAAAGAATTGAGAGTGATGAAGCGAACCTTAAATACTCAACTGATATACCCAAAATATCCACCTCGCACTCTAGATCCAGATTCAGCAATGAAGAAATAGCTGAAGACCTAAAACTCAGAGAAGAAGAAATAGACAGAAAAGACGGTTCACCCGACCATTCAACAGAAATAGGAGCTGCTGATAGAAAATGAGATACGCCTGAAGAAGAAACTCGAAGAAGAAACCAGGTGGGAAACCGAAATTCTTAGAAAACATAGAATGTCAAATAACTGGCAATGTTTTCAGTGGGGGAAAGAAAAGGCTTGTGACGAGAGAGGGAAAGATAGGCTTGTGAAGAGAGAGATATAGTTCTCTTCTGGCAGAAACCATGAGCAAAAACTGGCGGATAACAAATCCAGAGCAAAGGAAAAGACAGTTGAAACCAAGCAAAAGCTCCAGAAAAATTGCTAGAATTTCACGAAAATGAATCGCCAGAAAAATACTCTGGCAGGTTGGAGAACAAATTCCGGCGAAGGAGGACCCAGGTCCCAAGGCCTCAAGCTTCTCCTTGGCAGCAGATCCAAGCCCCTCATTCGTCAATTCAGATGCATTGTCATGGTAGCAGGTTGTACAACATGAGGGCTCCAAAACTTAAATATTCCAAACCAACCCCGAACTCACCACCAAATTCCAAAAGCACACAAACAGTATACAACAGATACACAATGGTAAGGGTAGCAAAGATAAAAGCCTATGCAACTGGTACCAACAGCAAGACAGGAGAACTGCTGTGCAATACAAAGAATGTAGCACAATATCCAAATGAACCAAAAAATATACAAGGTGGAAGTGCAAAAGAGGATGCACAGTTCAAAGTGGAACAGGAAGCACAGTTCAACATAGTTGAGGAAGCGTAACCTGTCGCAAACATGATTCAGCAATATCACAGGAAAGTGAACATGCTTTAGATGTGTGCTACTAGAGGGATACAAGTAGCACTGAAACAACATAGCACAGTAAAACATGATACCAGAAACAATGAAAAAAAAGTCAAAGGAAAAGAAAAAGACGAGGGTATCTTTTGAAGAAATACTTTAAAAATAAAGGATGCAGAATTGGCAGCGAAGCGTGGAAATTGTTAAAGAAATGAAATGTAAAATTAGTGACAAATTATAAAATCACTTAAACTGGATTATAGAGTAAGGCATTATGACAGAGACTGTTCTACTCGTACTTATATCTGGAAAACAAACCATAGAGTTTATACTCAAGGCTTAATATACACAGTCTTTAAGATAATGAATGGTTGGGCTTCTAATACAAACACTTGCCAGTTAAGTTATTGTAACACACAGGGTGCCAGGACTCACCTCGGCCAGGGCACTCGACCCCTGGTGAAGGCGAGTTACTCAGCCAAGTCCTCAGGACTCGGTCAAGTCCAAGCCCCTAAAAAATTTTAAAAAAAATTTGAGAAAAATTTGAAAATGCATTAAAGGTAAATTCAAACCAAAAACACCTTTAAAAAGTTAAAACGAAGTTTAAAAAGTAGAGAAAACATGAATTTAAAAACTCAATTTACAGTTTGGGATATTTTAAAAAAATACAAAAGAAATTTTAAAAAAGCAAGGATTAAAAAAAAAAAACAGTACAGAAAACATGGATTTAGAACCCAATTTACAATTTGAGATATTTAAAAAAAAAAAACCATTCTTGGGCCTTGAAGGAGAGCATTAGGTCCACGGTAATCTTCTGGGCCACTAACCACAGCCACTTCAAGCATCTTTGTGGCTCCGACTTCCACCTAAGCGCGTAAGAAATCCTCCACTATAGGCCCAATCAAATTCTCTGTGCCTCTCTTTGGACAACATTGGACCCCGGGCAAACCAAATTCAAATTTGACGGGTTCTCCCTCGACCTCCCCCTCCTCTCATTTACACTCCCCATAGGCCAAGCGGATTCCACTACGAAGGAAGCCCTCGCACTTTGGGAAGGCCCAAAGAACTTCAATCCTTTGGAGCACAGTTTTGATGGTGGAAGGTGACTCCAAAATTGTCATATCTTGGGCCTCAGGGGCCCCCTTGTAGACACACATCCTTTTTATATGAGATTTTTTATGTTTGCAGGCATATTCAGGTCTCATGGATGCATACTTGGAATGAGAATGATCACTTAGCCGATGCTTGGGCTCAGGAAGGTGCTTCTAAGGCAACTCACTAGAGCACCTGTTTTTCGTGGTTTCTATGGACCCCCAGTTTTGGTATACACATGCTTGTATAGCAATTTTTTACACTGCCAATGTCTAGGTGGTTTTCTTACTGAGCTCCCAATTTGTGGGTAGTCATTTTTTGTAACTTGTATAAATCTCTATACTAAATACAAGGTCAACAGTTTCCAAAAAAAGAACGAAAAATATGAAAATGTGATTATGGCTTTGCTAAATACATTTAAATCATGTAAGAAAAATTTGCATAACATATTTCTTAGTTAAAAAATTTTTCATTTTTTTTTTTTTAAATGCCCTAAGTTGTACAAACTACTTGGGGGTGCGCGGCCCTGCCCACAGGGCAAGGCCGAGTAAATCAATGAAGTCCTAATACACTGGTAATAAATATCATTAGATATTATAGAATATTAGTCGGGTTAGGTGGCGACTGAACCCATATTGGATCTGAGTCGGGCCTGAGTATGATCCAAGCCAAGTTTGGGTCCAACTTAGACCATGGGTCAAGCAGTTCGGTTCTAGGTTAGAGCCTATCCAACCCCGACTCGACCTACTTACAACCTTAACCATAGTTGTTGTGACTGGGAGCATGACTGAAAGCTAGTTTGGAAATGGGAATAGGGGATCGTTAAATGCTAGAAGATTCCTGTGATTAGGAGAAACGTCCGTACAATACATATGTAAAGGACAAAGATCCCCAAATGTTACGGATCGAGATCCCAACCTCATGGGGATCTGGATCCTGACTTTTTGTGATCTTGATCCAAATCTTTCGGGGATCTTACTACCAAGTCCCAACCTTAAAGAGTATGTATAGTCTAAGACTACATACTCTTTAAACCAGTGATCTATTTATTTATAACCAGCAAGCAATGCAACGATATTAAAATATAGTTGTGTTTTTAGCTCGCTATAAATTGAGAAAATCATTAGTTTGGTTGTTATCTTGGTTTTTAAGTTGGGAACAAGATCCCTAACAATGAGAATCAAGATATCTAGCAGTGGAGATTGAGATCCCAAAGTTTAAAAATTGAGATCTCTTTCCCGGACTGCCAAAGTGAGATCCCATAACGGAATTGCCACTATGTTGAAAGATCCCGGAAACTATTGCCTTAATATTAGTCATATAGCCATATACCCAATCCAAAACCAATAAGTCATCCCCAAAAAGAATTAATTGAGCACTGGAAAATACCCAAGATGAGAAAAGCATAACCCTAGGGAAGGAAAACCACTCTCCTATAACATAACAGATAATTTGTTAGAAAAAAAAAACAATGTTGCTATGACCTAAGGCTCCATTTGTGCATAAGGAAAAATACCATGTCAAAAAGAAAAACATGAAAAATGAAGGCCAAAAGTACCATGGCATTATTGTGTCCATCCAATCAAACAAAGGGGGCCCAGAACTCTTTTCAAGAATAATGTAACCAGCCACTTTTCAGCGGCTATTTACGTGATATTGTGATTTGGTGAATTGGTTTAGGGGATCCCAAATCCCAAGCCTTGATAATCTTAAAAGGTTGTTACACCCATAATACTGTTTTGAAATGTTTCCAAATGCACTAATATCTCTATTACTCTGAGATTATGACAAGTAATATAATCAATCCAGGAAACCGGAGAGGGAAAACCGTAAAGTCAAATCCAATTTCAAATCCTGCAAAATCAACATGAATTTATTTGCAGCAACGACATTTAGGTGGTGTATCTCTTCAATAATGATATATGATCAGAAACTAAATATTCAATGCTAGACTAATTTTTCTAATTAAGCTACTCAACAATTACAACGTACATGATCACAAACAATGGGATCTGGTGATTTAACTAACAATAAAAAAAAGACAATTATCTCATTTTATAAAAATCTGTTCGATCGAAAAGGGAGTACTAGATGGAGTTTCTTCCTTAACTATTACCTGCACTGAATCGGGAAATGAACGGGCTCTCTCAGCAGCCTTTAGGGCAAGCAGCCCACCATCATCATGACCAACAATAACCACCGAAGAGAAGCCCATCTCCAAGCAGAAGGAGAGAAGCAAATCAACCTAGGTATAATAAAGTAAAGAACCATGATTCTCCATGATAACACCCACATAAATCAAAGCTCACTTGAATAAATAAACAGAAACATAAAGTAACAAACTTGGAAAGCCAATATTTTTGCAGCCATTCAATAAGCTGGTAATCTAGAAAGCAAGTGGGAACACTATGCAACCTCAAGCTCATTTCATAATAGTCCAATTTGAGCAGTAAAAAGCAAGGTTTACAATGAAGGTTTTGGTAATAAGATAAAAACCGGTGAATTTTATAGAAAACAACAACCTTATAGAAATCTCAGGAGACTCACTACAAAGACATTTTAAAGAAGATAAGTAAAATATAGAAAGGGGCATCAAAAGCTTGGGAAACAAGTTAGGCAGTTAATGAACAGAGCAAACCAACCCACTCCATGACCAAATTATGCATGATAGATAAAGAAAACAGTAACTTTGCAAAATACTTGTCCCTTAGCCTCCAATATGAAACAATCACCAGTTCAAACATAAGTTCAACATGTCTGAATATATTGGAAATATTGTTTGGATAAGTTGGTTAGTTGAACTCAAATCAAAAGGATTAGAGAGAGAGAGAAAAAGAGAGACATAGAGAGAGAGAGAGATTGCATGAGCAACACACTGACTATGCACCTGAGAGTCAAGCTTGTAAGGATTAGGCTGCTGTTTCACCTCCCACTCAGCCTTATGTGGACGAGAAGTCAAACCCCATCCTGGCCTATCAAATGCAGCCACAGAACACCCCACCTGCTTAGCTAAGGGATCCATCACATGCCGCCATGAAAACACCCCTCCTCCAAATCCATGCACCAACACTACACCATAAGAGCCATTCGCTCCAAGCCCATCGCAATAGCTTTTCATAAATGCACCATGATCACTACCATCACCATCCAATTTTAGAGCCGGAATATGGTCAGCACAAGCATCAGAATCAGACAACAATGGTGCATAAAGGGAGGAACTGTTAAAATAATTACTTAAGCTCCTTTTAAGATGGTGGGAATTGGGAGTTACAAAAACTGGTCTCTCTGTTTTAAGCCTTCCAGGTGTGGTACAAAAGAAGCGACCATTCTCAGAGGAGGACAAGGATCGAGTAACGAAAGGTGATGCTGATTTAGCAGCTGCAGCTGAAGGATGGGAGAATTTGTAATGAAGGATGAGGCCTCGGCATGGCATGAAAAAGCTATCTACATCGGCAAGCAACCTGATGGGGAGCATTCCTTCATTGGCAGTTGCTACTCCCATTCTTGATGCTCCACTCTTTGTCACATTGTCACTCCTTGAGCCCTTCCCAGTTCCAGGAGTCGGTGAACGGGGCACCTTCTGGTACCCAGAGAATACATGCTTGCAGGTCAAAACCTGCAGCATGCAACCAATATAAAAACAAACACAACCACATAATTACTTTAAATATGAAATCAAAGCTTGTAAAATATTCAATTATATTATGTTGTCTTCATTTTAGTCTTGAGAATCCACGGAACAATTTTTAGACACAGTTCATGACATAAACCTTCAAGGGTGACTTTGGAAAAGGTCCTAGTCTCTGATGAAATGAGTGGGAACGGTGCTTCACTGGAAAAACTCAATGTGTATGTGTGTGTGTCTGTGTGTGAATATGCATGCACGCAGGAACCCATAAGTATGGGAAAAAATGGCGAGGGCCAACTTCAATTTTCTGTCTCCCTTTCCATCTCTAAGACAAGGAAGAGAAATAACGATCCCACTTACCAAATTCCTCTCCGAAACCCTCTAAATAATATTACACAGACGACCTAAAATTTTTAAAAAGCACTCATTCCAATTCCTTCAAAACAAATGTTTGCAGGCCAGAAACTATAGCTGAATGCCTGAATCACAATCGATCACAAAACGAATGTTTAAAACTCAATCCATAGATCTTTGTCATTTTAGTCAGAATTGTGGCCAGAATAGCAGCCTCGGTTCTACCATAGTTGATTGCTTTACCTGTGAAATGCAAGTTCGTAAACAAATGTGAACCCAAAACTCATTCACAATAAATAAACTTCATCAAAAAAAATTAGTGCTAGTTTAAGGAATTGTTGAATGACGGAAGTAGAAAAAGAAACTGTCCTACTCTTGAATGACTGATTAGCAGAAAGAAAAAGACCAACATAATTTTTGAAATGCTCTGAGGAACACGACTCAATGAGTCTCAACAAGTTCATCAGCCAGGACACATGCCAAAGAATAACCCAGATAAAAATCCTCATGCCCATCTTGAGCCCCTCAAGAAAAATCACCCCAAATTTATCAGCACCACAAAAACAACATAAAAACAGAAAGAAATTAAAAATGCAGACACCACAATTATTACCATCATCTCAACATCATGACCATGAATATGATCACTATTAAGATATAGCAACTACGGAGGGAGGGGGGCTTACAGCCTCTGGATCAACATGATGAAAGAGAAGCATCCGTCGAGCTTTGCGACTGATTCTATAGGCAACAACCACGTGGCCAAGAGCCAAAACAAGGGAAGAGAGGAACAGAACAGGCATCCCCCATGACTGCTTCAAGTGAAGCTTTTGTGCCGCCAATGTGGCCATAGCTCCAAGCTCAGTTTCAGCACTTCCAATAAAGAGACAGGCCTTCACTGACAGAAGGGCAACAGAGAACAAGGAGCATATTGTTGCAGTTCCAAGATAAGGGCCCTGAGAGAGTCCACGCACATCACATAAGGAGTAAACACCTGCAAGTAAGAAAGAAGTGATCAAGGAATAAAGTTAACAAAACCACTACTGCTAAAGATTGTAACTTTCTAGCATAATAAAAAGTGAATTCCTAAAACAACACACTTTTGCTAGAGTGTGAAAAAAAGAAAAAAAACATTAATAATGAAGCCTATGCTCAATTTTCCTTTCCAGCTGGTAGATTAAACATTATAAATGAAGCAACAAAATGTTTTTGTAGAACAATTGGAAACTACCACAAAAAATTTTTAAACAAGTGTTTCAAGAGAATGCTGAGAAAAGAAGAGAAGCCCTTCAGTAAAATGTACCTTACAGGACAAAATTTACTATATTTCTTAGAGTGCACAAATGCAACACAGCACAGAATGATTCTGCAAATTGGCATACGAGAGGGAACAGAATAAACCAAAGTACGAAATGCTCATTTATGAGCAAGAGGAAAATGTAGAAAAATATGCTACCATGTCAGACAAGACATAAGTACCATTAGAATACCGAAGAAGAGAAAAATCGAATTGCTTGAGCTTTTGAGCAAAATATTATACATTTTAACAGAGAATTCCAAATGATAGCATTTCCCCACAAGTTATGCAGAATTTGAGATGAAAACAAAGAACGTGAAATCTGGAATTTCTTCCAAAAAACAAAAAAAAAGAGCGCACCAACATTACAATAAAAAGAGAAAAAAAAGGCCACCAACACAGTCTGTTGGAGAAACGAGAGAAACCAGACTCTGCAAAGAAAACAAATTGCCCATGAAAACCCAAAAAAAGAAAATGAACCATGAAAGATAATTTCTTATTTTTTTAAAAAATAATCAGAAATAGTGCAAGAAACAAGATTAAGTAAAACCAAAATGGATATTCTCTAGTTTTTATCCTCTTTCTAAAAAGGCATGAGTTAATATGATCAAATTATCGATTCATTCACCTTTGTTTCTGACACAAACCATTTCCAAAAATAATGAGAAAAAACACCCATATAAGAACAAAACAAATGAAAAAATAAAGAAATAACAGAGAGAGAGGAAAAAAGGAAAGGACATAGGAAATAGGAAAGAGAAGAGAGAGGAGGCGGCATACATATGATTGGGAAGGATCGAGCTAGAGAGAGAATGGGCACATCAAGGAGAGAAGTTCTGAAGCCATATCCCTGCCATTGATCCTTAACAGAATGCCATGACCCGGCGCGAGTAAATGCGGAGAGAAGAGCACACGGCACCAAAGCATCGGCAATGGCGACGACGGTGGGCGCTGAGAAAACGAGCAAAGAGGCGAACAAACTCACCAAAAACACAACCGTTTTGAAAACTCTCTTCAACCTCTCTCCAATCTTCCCTTTTGTTTTTAACAGAGCCATGTTCCCTTTTCTTTCTCTCTCTCTATCTCTAAAAGAATCGATTTTTCCGGCGGTTGTCAACCCATTTTCCAGCGCAGAGAAGGTGGGCGGTTCAGGGAGTGCCCCGAGATGCCTGCGTGTTGTTCCGCGATTCACGCAGAGCCGTTGTAGACGACGCCATGGCCGAATAATCTTCAAAAAAAAGTACGGTCATCATTTCCTTTGTTTTTTGATTTTTATACTTTTTTTAAAAAAACGGGCAGGATGGACATCGTCCCATCCGTCTCTCCATTGACCCACCCTTCAAAGCTAGCTTCGGCTTTTTCTCTCTCTAAACATCATTCTTTAGAATTTGCAACAACTGTTTGCATTCTCTCTCTAAACCCTGGTTTGTCCTTCCTCTCCCTTTTTTTTTTACTAAGTTTGTGACTCATGATTTCTGTTTAGCAAGAAGATTTCGTGCTCCTGGAGGAGCATACCGTCCATTTATTCCCTAGGTAGAACTTAATTTGAAAGAAATTGGATTGAAACAGTATTAAAGAGATCGTTCACTCTTAAGGGATTGTACGAGATTATTTACCTTTGAAATAAGATGGTCACAATTACTTACAACCATCCGATGTGAAGTTTAATAGCTTGGATGTGTTAAAGAGTTCAAAAAAATTTCTTTTTAAGTTTAATCTTGGTCAATATTATAATTGTGGTCATCCAATTTCACATCCAATAATCAATATTAATGTCTCACTTTGTATCAAAAGTAAATGGTCTCATTCTATTCTTTCCCCACTTTTAATACAAAGAGGACACAGTCATTCTTGTCCATCAAATTTTAAATCGGTTAATTGTGTGTCATTGACTAGACTCAAAGTTCAAAAATATATTTATCAACTTTATGACTGCCCTAAGCCATGTAATTTGTGATCTAATAGTAATAGTTGTGACTTCTTTGTAACAAAGATAAATGGTCTCATAGTATACAATCCTAAAGATAATTAAGATCCCAAATTTCGGTCATATAACAGCATCAACCTATAAGCTAACCTCAATTTAGAAAAATTTCAAATCACACTCTATGCACTAGAAGAAAATAGTATCGAGATTCAACTGAAACCACCCATATATTTTTTAGGGTAAAATCTAAGATTTGGAAAACTTAAAATTCACATTTTATCTCTTTAAAATAATCATCTACTAATTCTTAGTGAATTTCTAAAATTTTAGATAAAAAAAATCTCTCAAGTAGCTTTTTTACCTGAGGGAATAGAGGGACAGTTTGGAACACCGTATACACACTCGATTAATACTTCAATAGTCTAATACTAAAATAGCTTAATAGAAATAATCTAATACTAAAATAGTTTAATAGGTAGAGCTTTTGCTTTATCTCTCTTATCATTTATTGTTTCTCTAATCAGCTTTGCGATGTTCCCTCTTGCTTTTTTTTCTATCGAACGGCTTTTCGCCATCAAATGATTGCTTTAGAGAAAGAACTTTTTTCAACAGATTACGTGCTCCCGTAGGAGCATATTCTCTTTCAATCTCCCTCTTGGACAACCCTTTAAGGCCCTAAATTTTGGAAGGCAATTTTTCACTCCAAGCAAAGGTGTTTGTCTGAGTAAGCAGACTAACATGTAGATGTGGACCCCTTTATAGGTGGATTTTAGATCCAAAATTTTGGGATTTAAATCTCTATTGTGGTGATTGTGGATATCGAATATTTTTTTTCTTGGAAAATAACCATTTTTTTATGTGCATCTCTAAAATGGTCGGTGTGCAGCAGGAGACGCAAATGTTTTCGTGAGTCAACTGACACACCAAAACCGTGTTATTTTCTAAAACTTTGGGAGGTAAAGTCTCCACACTAACCAATGATTTTCAGAATAATTCCAAAATAGGATATGGAAAATAATTATAATAATAATGTCATGAGCATCTACTTTTTAAGAGGGTGAGAGCTGTGGGCCATAAAACTTCAAATTTGAACTTTCTTGTTTGAAAAAATATGATTCATACATGCGAATCAAATTTCCACATAGAAACATATCCAAATTAGCTCTTTTATTTGAAGGAGTAACAGTACAATATAGTCCGGCTGAAAATGTTGTACAGAAATTAAATAGAATGCCAATTTTTTTTTGGAGGTGGGGACGACCGTGGATACACCACCACGTAGGGCTGACAAAAATGCGCAGGCCTAGCCAGTCCAGCCCTAAAAAAGGGCCACAAATTGCAGCCCGGAGACATGGTAGGGCTGGCACCTGCCTGGCCCCATTCTTCTTTTTTTAAAAAAAAAAAAATTATGTAAATTTTTGTTTTATTTTTTGTTATTACAAAAATGCTTAAAACTTTTCATTATTACACATATATCTTTTTTTTTAACTTCCTAACAATTTATGAAAAAAAACCAATTTAGGTGTTTTTAAAGACCCAAATGAGCCTGTACAAAAGGGCGTTTTCCAATCCCTGCCAATTTTTCAAGTTTCTATCCCCTCCCCACGTGGAAGAAATCGTGCAAGACATGAGTGACAAATAGCAAGTAAATCAACAGAAGATAAAGAGAATGCCCCCAATTCCCTTCAAAGCAACCAAATGCTTAATCTAAATTTCCGGCACTTGAACCCCAGGGAAGATGTCACATGATTTTTTAAGAGTCCATCTTTGGGCTCCAACAACTTTGCAGAAGCTCCACCATCATCAACGAATTCATTTAATCTTTGTCAAGCAGCAAATATAAAAATAGAAGAGAACAAAATTCTCCCTGCAACGAAAATGAATCCCATTTCCGCCTCAAATCCAACAGAAAACCCACCCCTTTTCCAGCGAAAACCGGGTCAAATTCCAACCAAATGTCTCCAAATTCCGATAAAAATGAACCAGCCCTCAAATAAATCCGGTCAAGGTCCCTTCAAAATCCGGCCATAGATGATATAACCCGCAAAAATAATTTAAAAAAAAAATAATAAAAAAAAGAAAAATCCGGCCAAATTTCTGTCAAATCGGCCAGAAACCTCCTTTCCAAGGAAAACACGCTAAATCTTAGGCTTTAACAAACCCTACATTTGTGATTTGAAAGGCGCAATCCAAACTCTAGATTTCCATTAAAGAGAGGGAGAGAGAAAGTCTTTGTCGAAAACAAATTATGCCAAGTGCACTTCTTAGCGAACTCCATTCCTCAATGTTCTTGGGTTAGGTTTTTTGTGAGAGTGGTTTTTTTGAGATGTGGAGAGTAGTTTTGAGACTCATATACACAAAGCAGAGCATGATATACAGAGGAGAACAAAAGCGTTTAAATTACCGGGTCATTTTCGGTTTTTCAAAAATTATTTGGGTATTTAAAAAATCGAAAAAAGATAATTTCATCTTTTTAAAAAATATTTGTTATTGAGTGAAAAAAAGGGAACATATGAGTAATAACATCAAGTATTTTGATAATAACGGAAAGTAAAGCAGATATTTATGTCATTTTTTTTATTTTATTTTCTTTATTTATTTATTTTTCACCCAACCCGATGTGGCGCAACTAGGACAGCCCTATGAGATAAGGCCTAATCCAGGTCGAAAGCTGGCCCGACCCAAGCGCGGTTCGTGTTGCCACCCTTACCATCACACTACTTGTAACTCAGCAATGGCTTCCATTTCTTTTGGCAAAAACATCTTTTGGTTGTCATTTGTTTCGTAGTTTGCCTTAAAGAAAATAATCTTGACTCTGCATGAACATACGTTTCATCACTTGTCATAGTTTATTACTAATTTCCACTTGTGTTGGATCAAAACCGGTTCTTTAATCAAAGAATCGAGAAAGGTTATACACTTTTGCATAGTTGGGAGGGGAAGGTTGATATTTTCAAAGATAAAACTTCGGGAAATCCCTTGCCTTGGCATTACAAAGCTGCAACTCGAATCATCTCACAGTCCAAATTGAGCATTGCCCCTCGATGATTATGGATTCGAAAAAAAAGAAGAAAATAAAATGATTTTAAGCATTAAAAATAGTTTATTTTATAATACCTTTTTTAGTCATATATTTCAAGTCTTTACATATTTGTCAGATTTATACTATTTTTAGAACTTTAAATTCCACTATTAGGTGTGAAAGTAGGTTTGCAAGCTAACAAAACAAAGGTTTTTGCACAGAATTGTGTTTTCCTGTCGGGTTTTGAGGTGCAGATTTACCAAATTTTGTAAAAATGTGGCCTTATCCCTCAACTTAAGAGAATGTGTAAGAGCGATATTTAAAAGGGAAAAGTTTATATAAGGTTGAAACCTTAAAATGTAAAACTATGGTTCAACTCTAAATCCTTTGAAATAAGTTGTTTGATGTTCGAAAACAATCGAATTGATGGTCTCCATGTCGAGTATAGTATGGATATAAAAGGATATTTCAAGTCCTAAAAATAATATATCGTGTAACACATTATGTGGACCATCTATTTTCATGATTTTCGCGGGCTTATAGATCTGCTTGATTTTAGAGTTTCAAATATCATAATTAGAGATAAAAATAAATTCTCACATCACCCAAAAAAATTTCAATACCAAAATCGTATCTCGTGAGAAATTAAGTACTCTTTGTCAAAAAAAAAAAATATCGTATCTCATGAGAAAGTTTGGAGGTATAACCTACTTTGATTGTTTAAGGTCGCAAACTCATGCAAACCACACATCTATATGGGTTCTATCTTTTATTTGTGTTGATAATTATAGCAACAAGATATTTAGTGTCCTATAATTTGGGATTACACTGGTAATGAGATATATTTATAAAAACAAAAATTGTGTCTCTATAAATCTCTAGTAAAAGAGCAATCCCTATAAATGAGAGACTGGTTTACCATTGCCAAACCATGTATATGCCTTGTCGATCCATTTCTCTCTCTCTGACTCTCTTCTCTTCTATATATCTGTTATTGGAATCTTACATGGTATCAAAGCAGACTAATCCATCACTAATAATCTATTGTTGGCTGGTGATTGTGGGATCTATTTTTCTTTTTCGTTTTGGGCATCCTTTTGCGTGATGAGCGTGGCTCTTTCTCCATACCATTATCGCTCTGGGACTGTTGCTCTTAGAGAAGAGCATGATCTTTGTATCCGCAAGCACCCTTTTCAGAGTTCAATCAAAAAGGTTCTTGAAGGTGACGTCCTTGGTTATGAGTCTTTATCCCTCTCTCTAGGTACCTTCTCTTATTGATGTTTTTCTCTTTGCAAAGGTTTTGGTTTGCAAGTGTTAGTGCAAACTGTTTTTGTATGCAAATTGTTTTATTGGTTCTTGGTTTGCAAATTCTTTAGAGCGCACTTTTTCCTCTAGGAATTCTTACTAGTCTTTATCATTTTTAAGATTTGGTTTGAAGGAAGCAACATGTTACTATG